ATATGTGCCATCGTTCCCTCTTAAAATTACAAGAATATATACGGTCCTGTTTAATACTTAACTCTGGAGAAATCTTCATTTCAAATAAAGCATGCATTTTGATTTGGGACATAGTAAAAAAAATCTTTAAAGATATATACATCAACTAATTTGTTAATCTTGTGCCACTTTTAGCATTTGTCACACATATAGACCAGGAAATTGGCTCCATCTCATTCTAGCTCTGTGTTGAATTAAAAACCTCTACTGCAAAGAAGAGCATGATGTGGGGAAAGAATAAATTTAGTTCTTTCTTTAGTAATGCACATATATTTCCATACATTTCACATCCTAAGGGAGCCTGTGAACGCATTCAATAAATACAAAACTGTAATTCCAGGAAAAAGGAATTTTTATATTATAAATTTCATGTAGTATTTTATTCTTAAAACATCTGAAATTATAAATGCTGTTATGTTTTTATTCTTTTATAAAATACAGGATATAGAAAAAAACCCGAAGGTACTGAATTTTAGGTCATTGGTATTTCTGAGAGTATTAGGTGGTTTAGAACAAAAACATATACGTTCAACAAAGGCCCTTGAAAATTAAGAAAATATTAACTACGTCCAGCCAAAGTAGTTCTACCTAACATAGCCTAAAATCAAAATCATATATGTAAGCATTTATACGGAACGATTGCCTATCTTCACCTTATATATTAAGGTCAGCTAAAAGAGCAGTTTATGGATAAAGGGCAATAATAAAGAGGTAGCCTTTAAACATGATTAGTTGGTGTCTATTAAAGATGTGTTAAAATGAAATATATACTGCAAGTGAAGGAAATTACTAACTCCTGCGAGGATGATAGACTTGCTCTATGTGTATTTCACTATTCCTTTAAAATATTTGCGAATTTGACTGCATTCTGAGGAGACAGAGCAATGTGGTAGATTTATGAGGGTCTGACGGAAGCAGGGCGAGGAGAGATTATGGCAGACTTGTTTAGAAAAACTGAGAACTGAAGGTTCCTGATTTACACTGACATATATCGAGATGAAACTATAGTTTGCAAATTGCCTAGAGGAGCTATCTTTTATTAAGTGTTTGATGGGTACAGAAATGTACATATCTATTCTAAAACAGCCCAGGAATACTGATGCAATATTTGCAAATGCAGTTTTAACATTTTTAGGTTCTCTTCGGCCGTTTCCTTTTTGAGGGTCCCCTCGCCCAGCCCTCTTCTGGGTGCCCGTGAACGAGCTGGGCGCTCAGAGAACTTGGTGTTGCCTGATTTTGAATTCCTGGGGTAGGGATGTGCTGAAATACCCTCTGCGCCGCCAAACCAGGAGGGATCCCACTCTAGCTCAGGCACTTCTAACCTTTTTTTGATGTGTTTGGTGCATCCTACATCTTCGCTGTTAAAAAAGGGAAAGAGGACGTTGTAATTCCAAACTTTTACAATTAATGCACTTCCAAAGGCTTTCACCTCACATACTATGCCCTGATGCCCTTGCATATGTTTACTATGAGATGACACAAGGTGTAGCAGCTCAAGCACGCAGTTTTACCCTAAAATTTCTTGCAAAGAAAGCCTGAAAGACCAGTAGCCTCTCTACTCAGGTCAATCTTGTGTTTTATCCCAGCTGCTCCAAGGTGGATGACTTCTCTAAGGTGGAGGGCGGGGGGGGCAGCCTGGCTTTGTACTATTATTTTTGGTACATTAACTTCCTCTTTCTTTAGGAGCTGTTACTTTTTAATCTGATTTTAAATCATTATTATCATAGTGAAAATCTGTATTAGTCAGTACAATTCTACTTTCATAATTCACGTTTTATTAACGCAATTAAAATTGGTATTTACTGATGCTTCAGGAACGAAATTATGAATTTAATATCAATTTAACAATGGATGATGTTTTGCATTCTAGGTCTGTCAGCATATTTTCAAGCTAGGTGAATGCATTATACAAGCATTGGGCAATATTTTACATAATAATCTACCTATTAGGTGGGAAGTTTCGTCAGGCGTGATCACTGATTATATATAGAAAATTTCGGGGTTTTTTTTTTTCCACATGCAGATGTGGAAACAGGATTAAAATATCAGCACTTTTAAAGACTTCACTGGCTTCTAATATAATCAGCAATATCTGTTGGTACAAGCTTTTGGCCAGCAACAGGGAGAACAAAGTCTACAAGCAGACAAGTCTTTGCACCTCCATGATGACTCTATGTTCAGTGCCTTGATGACTTTACCCAGGGCTCGCTGGGGTATAATGTGATATAAAGAATTGTACATCCCTGCTAAGAGACACACACCCAGTCCTTTCTGTCCGGAGCTGGCAGAGTTTTCTTAAATCATTAACTCATCAGATGAGGGCAGGGATGCCTGGATCTTTCTGGATGTTTGGATAGTGCCGAGCGTAATATAATGTGTACTAGAATATAAGGAAATAATTGGCACTTGTTAGTTATAAGCAGCACTTGTTAGCATAGGCTTTCTAGCGTGCCAACAAGCAATTAACCTCCGCATCAGTCAATCACCTTTGCCTAGTTAACTCGCATTACACTTCGAGGACAGCTGCCATCTTCCCGTGGAAAAATACATGGAACTGTGCCCCTCACTGTCACGCCAGCTCCAGACCAGCGGAACTTTGTTTTATTCAAAAGAGTTGGAGCTTTCTAAACAGAAGGGTGATCAAGAAAATGATTTCTCTTCCGCGACTGTAAATTAGGAGTAAGTGCACTTAATTCATTGGACCTCCGTCTGTGTAAAACTGAGGCAGTGAAGTCGGGATCAATCTTCCCTCTCCGTACGGAAGAGGTGAGAGTGTGGCTCGGTCCATAAGTCAATCAAAGCAGTGGTGTTGCTTAGCAATGTAAATGCAGAAGGGGGGACCGCTGATGCCAAGAAATTTGCCCCCACGTATTGCACCTGTCAATGGAAAGGGGGGGGCCGCATCGCAACTGCGGTGCAGCGCAGAATTAATGCCCTAATTAGTGACTTCTTCATCTCTATTAGCTATGCCTGACAAGACCATCCGGTGGGGTTATTCATCAGCGCGTCACTGCTGGGGGTGGCAGGAGTCGCTGGCTTTCTTCTTCCTCGTTTTGTTTTTTCTAAGCCCTAGTAAATACCTCCAACCCGTTTTTGTTGGGAATGGGTGACCATGAGAGTTTCCATGTGCTGTGTCTGTACATCACTTGGGTTGGCGGTGGGTTAATATAACTGGGTTTTTTTTTTCCCATTTCCCTACGTGTAAGAGTGATTTTCATGGAAGGAAAGTACAGACAGCCTGAACTGTGATTTAAAGCAGATCGTTTTATTCCAATAGCAGGAAGCAACTTCCATAAATGACAACTTTTTTTTTTCCTTTTGATAACTCCAGTGAAATACAGAGATGACACCTGTATGAAGCATTATTTTTAGAAAGAGGGACTGGGACACTTCTTTTCCCCTGACTATTGAAATGACATATAAATATCATTTCTTTTACTTTTTTTCTGTGAGTTTTGTGACTTGTGCCTTGGTGTGTGACTGCGATGTGCATTTTTTGTTGACAGATGTGAATACGGTAGAGAGGGTACTAAATAAAAGTGTGCCTGGTCCAAATCGGGAGCAATATGCAGGATAACTTAGAAAAAAGAAAAAAAAAGAAAGAAAGAAAAAGTGGATTCACTGTAAACTTATTTCTTCCTGGTCAGTCCATTTGGGAATAAACAGACCACCGTGGAGGGCTTTTATAGTGAGTGATGAAAACGAAAAAGGAGAAAGCTGAGGCCTGCAAGGTAATTTCACACCCTTCTGAAGAGTTTTACATATTCAGTTCTGAACAAATAAATCTTTCAATTATGAATTTGAATCTATCCTGGAACCTATCCAGGTACAAAAACCCTAAAAGAGGAGTTTCTTTTTTTGTTTCACAGAAGTTTTGTTATTACTGCTTAGTATTCTCCATCTTTCACAGGAGGAAGTCTTTTGGGAATATTTAAAGAACTGATTTTTTTAGTGGATTTTTTTGGCATTTCTTTCAAATAATCACTGTGGAAGTCATCCTGAGGCACGTTGTGATCACAAGCCACTTTACACTGGATGGAGTCACCCTATGCGGTTCTTATGACTAGTTGGGCATTACTTTAGTGATGCGAGTCACTTTCCAAATATAAAAATCATCTACTTGTGAAACAGTCACAGGGAAGCAAAATATAACTGTGTTTAATTGGATCCTTGCTGATAAGTTTTCTTCCAAATGTATCCAAATTTTGATCTTGCCCTAAGCTTCTCATCGCTTCTCTTGGTACCAGAATTTATGTTCCCTGAGCTGCTCAGGAGTGCAATCCTGAGCCTCTTTGCTGAGTTACAACTTCAATCAGTGGGGTCCACCCTGAGGGAGGTGGGTCAGGGAGTCACGATACAAGTGTTTATTTCAGGAAACATTGAGTAAACTTCATGGTGCAACTGTGGTAGAGTAGGAAGATGTGTGAAGCTCATTCTTGTGTATAACTACTACATGCCTCAAGACAGCAAAACATTTTGGGCTATATTTCTGCTAGAAGTTGTAAGCACACTACTGAAAACCATTCTTGAAGGGAAGCTGAATTAAAGCATTTTTTCAGTTGTGCCATTAATTATGTAAGAACATGAAGAAATTTGAGAGCAGGTAGAACCTCGTGGTTCTACATCTTCTTCCTCCTGCGTACAGAAGGAAGTGACCTCACTGGTAAAGAGGAGATGAGAAAATGTTACTTTTTGGTGTAAAACATGTTTCCTGGTAGTATTTCTGCTGAAATCAGAATTATGGACTGGACCTGTGACATTCCTTAGTTATGTAAACTCATAACCCAAACTCATAGTATCTTGTGAGCCCGGCAAACTCGTTAACTTTGGGGTTTTTTTTAGACTCACTGGTGCTTTTACTTATATTTAAAGATGGTAAATACAGGGAGAATCGGATAGTTCTTCCTTTGTTCTGCCTCAATCTCAGTTCTGTTGCCTTTTTGCCTAGGGAGTTAGAGAGTAGTCTTGGCCATTTAACTTGTGTCTTCAGCATGCCCATGTAGTGCAACACATTTTTGCCTCTTGGTTATTAAGACCGGCCATAAAAATCCATTTTAAATGGTGACTTAAGAAATGCATCCTTGTCAATAAACATGAATTTGTAGCCTTAGTCATCTTTGATGATTAAAATATATGGTTGCGTAACATAAAACGGTATTAATTATTCAGTCTAAGTGCTCTATTCTGATATTTTTTTTGTACTTATACACACATTTTCTCTTCCTAGGTACCTTTTTAATGCCGAAATGGACACACTAATTGTGAGCTGTGTGGTAAGAAGCTCCTTCTAAAATACGCAGTAACTTATTTACTGGAATTTAACAGGCTGTGTGTGCTTCGAAGCTTCTCCTGCCTGCAGTCAGGGGGAACACATCTGGGCAGCCCTGTTGCCAGCCGTGGTTGGGCACAGAGATGGTGGGGCTGAGCATCCCCCGCCGGTGGGTGAGGTACCAAGAGGAGCTGGCGACCTACAACGGGACCGGGGACCTCGCTCCCCGGGATTTGCTCACAATTATGCTCCCGGCAACTGATATTTCCATTTTACTCAAAGCCTCTACCTCTGTGCCGTCAGGCAAAGCCCCGTGAGCGGCGGCAGAGCAAACCCCAGCCTTCATTTTCAAGTTTGAAGCAAAGAAAGAAATTATTTACCTGTCCGAGTCCCAGAAGCTGCTGCTCAGAGGTCACTCTTTGTTACCCACCGCTTTAAACCATTCAGGTTTCCAAAGGCTCTGCAAAGAAACGGGGCGTAGTTTGGGGCAGAAATAGTCTGATTGTTTTAATTTTGCTTAGTTTCTATGTGTTTTTTTGTCCGGCCAGAGGAACATGGCAGATGGAATGTTTCTGACATTTCTTGCAATGAGTGTTTGCTTAAAGGGACTCTCAGAGGTTTTGAGGCAGAGCTTCGACCCTCCTTAAGATTGTTATACACTGAAGCAGAATGGCTTTTAATTTGTTAGGCCTTCGTTAGGACAGCAGTGACATGGTTTAGTGATGTGGTTTTTTGTTTTTGTCGAGTTTCATTGATTGTTGGACTAGATGATCTTAAAGGTCCTTTCCAACCCAGACAATTCTATGATTCCATGACTTTGGAGTTCATTTTGTAAGGAAAATCATTGATTCATGCAATGATTGCTCCTTTACGGTTTTATCACGCTTCCAACTCTCTATTTTTGTATTCTCTTGGTTATGAATTTAGGCAAATGTTTAACTGTGTGTTTTAATGTTGCACCAGTTTTTTTTTTCCATTTTAGATGTGTTTTCTTGAATTAGACCCTTGAATTTAGTGACAATTAGTCTAATGTCCAGAAGAGTCATCAGTGAGACTGCTGTGTACCAAGATGTGTGAACGGGCAGCACAAGTAATGACTTTTTTTTTCCTTTTTTCCATTCACAGAGGAAGAACTAAGAAGTCAAGGTTATTCAACAGAAATGAATGAATACAGCCTGGAAAGGTATTTATTTTCCAAATTGCAAGAGGAACTCAGAAACAATAAGGATAACATCAAAACAAAAAACTAAAGAAACTGCTTAATTTGCTTTAAAAATAATTGGAACTAGGAAAAAAAGAAAAAGCATTTTATAATGAAGAAAATCACCAGGCAGGGAAAAAAGAGTTGTCTGACACAGCGTTTGGGGTAGATGGAAAGAATCGTTCCAGGGGCTGTTCTTTGCTGCCATTGCAGAAGCGTGTGGGGCATTTTATCTGTCTTAGTTGCCCCAAACGTAAATAGAAGATGACAACACCTGCTTCTGCCTGGTGTTGTACAGTCCTTTGATGTTTCACAGTGCAACAGAATAGTCTTTCGTGGTGTGCTTAAAAATTGCCTGTTGGACCTTGTGCTTTTAAGATAAAAACTAGCTTGGGGTACACATCCTGGAAGAGCTGGTGGCTTAAGGTGGTGGTGGTGGCAACTTTAAGTTTTTGTGGGGTATGTTTTGTTTTTTGATTTTTTTTTTGTTTGTTTTTAACTGTTTAATGGACTGATTTTTGGTATAATTGCTGGAATATGGAGCTCTCCGGAGACTGATAGAAAGGAGGGTTGCTGTGAATGAAAAAGCCTCCTTTAGGAGATCCTATGATCTGCAGAATTCTGTCAAAAACATACTTAGCATTAACATGGCCCGTGTTTTGTGCTTCAGCTACTCACCTTTCAGGGATGTCTCTGTCTGGCTGACATCTCAAGGCTGTTTGTTAAAAGATAACACTGGAGGGTTCCTTACCTTTAGACCAATTCAGATTGGGGCATACCATGGTATGAAAAGCCACATGCAAATGCCATGGATTTTTCCATTAAATAAGCAGGCTGATTTCATTAGTATTTCTTAAAAGAGCAGGATTAAAAAAAAACCCCAAAAAACACGACTTAAATAGTTATGAATCTCCTGTAGAGAATTTTGGTGACAGAACTGTCGCCATATGGCTGTGCATATTTCATGCTACATGAAAAGAAATTAGCAGGAAATTAGTGGAACTTGTGGAAAACCTACGTAAAAGTAAAATACAACAAGCAAACAGTCTCTCCATGGGTTACACTGGCAGCACTGATGACAAAAAGCATGGAGTATGCCCAGGGTGGTGTGTCTCCTGACCCCTGCTCCATCCTTTAGCTGTGCCCCAACTGAGCTGTCGGGCCTGCCATCAGCCTGGGTTGCTTGATGCATCTCTTTTAGCAACAGGGGATTTCAGGGCTGTCCTAGGATCTGTGACATGAAGGTGAGTGGAGGGTTGTCACTGCAGGGCAAGTGGACTGTGCAAGGAGACTGTGAGTACCTGAGGTTTCTGGGGTGCATCAAGAAGAGTGTGGCCAGCAGGTGGAGGGAGGTCATCCTGCCCCTCTGCTCTGCCCTGGGGAGGTCCCATCTGGAGCACTGGGACCAGTTCTGGACTCTCCAGTTCAAGAAGGACACGGAACTGCTGGAGAGGGGACAGCGGAGGGCTACAAAGATGCTGAGGGGACTAGAACATCTCTTTGATGAGGAAAGGCTGAGGGATTTGGGTCTGTTTAGTCTGAAGAAGAGCAGACTGAGGGGGGATCTGATTAATGTCTATGAATACTTAAAGGGTGGGTGTCAGGAGGATGGGGCCAGGCTTTTTTCAGTGGAGCCCAGTGACAGGACAAGAAGGAACCGGTTCCAACTGGTACATGGGAAGCTCCATCTGAACATGAGGAGGAACTTCTTTCCTGTGAGGGTGGCAGAGCCCTGGCAGAGGCTGCCCAGGGAGGTGGGGGGATCTCCTTCTCTGGAGACATTCAAACCCACCTGGACACGTTCCTGTGGGACCTGCTCTGGGTGACCCTGCTCTGGCAGGGGGTTGGACTAGATGATCTCCAGAGGTCCCTTCCAACCGCGACCATTCTTTGATTCTATGATTCTTGTCTTGCACACCTTAAACTATACCCTGGCTTGACCCATGTGCAGCTTCGTGTTCCCACAACCAGCCTGGAACACAGGTCCGAGTTTATAGGGTTAGAGACATTAAAAAATGTTCCATTCTCATTTGAAACTTCCAGCGTTTAATCAAATCACCAAATCAAGTACAGGATCAAAACAGTTTATCAGAACATCAAAATTAGGGATGCAAAATTTTGCTTTTTGGATTATCGGTAAAGGGGCAAAGGTGTCTCTTCCCAGTGGCAGGCACCAGCTCCCAGCTGAGGTGCAGGTGGATGAAATGCCTGTCTTACCCCTGACACATGCTCTCCAGATTCCACCAAAGATACCAAGCTCTACTAAAAAACAGAGAACCATAATTACTATATGATATAAAGGGATGTGTTAGGATTGTTAGTAAATTAAAGATTAAAATTGAGACTAACCCTTGAGAATAACCTTTCATTTATTAACTGCTTTCCTGCCTTTAATTAAATCCAGAGTGGTTTTAATATATAGGGGCATCTTTTGGGCTTACGTTTGAATTGTGAAAATGGCTAATTTGTGTATGGTTTATTCATGTTGCTATTTCAAGTTATTTTAATTGCAGTACTTACGTAAGATCAGGAAGCAGAATTTCATTCCATCTGGTGGTTACTTATTTACTTACATTAATCATACAGTCAGAAAACACAGAATTAAAAAAAAATAACTACTGAAAACTTGATTGAACATACTAGAGAAATTAATGTCACTAAATGTGTCCATATGGAGCCTGAAAATTTCAACACACTTCAAAAAATTAATGGAGGAAACAAACAGGGAGCTACAAATGTTGTGAGTTTCCCAAGAAACCTATTTTTCCTAGTATATTTCAATGGGTTTATATATCAAGAGTACACCTATATAAAACTGCTTTTGAAGCTGGTTTTAGTTGTTTTTGTTTTTTGTGGTTTTTTTTTGAATTTATGTATTACATGTACTTACTGAGACTGAAGCTGTATACTTTCACTCCACTGTGAATCTCTAACCCAAGTTAAATACTCAGGGAGATCCAGTATGTTAACATGTTAACTTAGGGATCAAAAATTATGTTTCTACTTGGCCATATGAGGTCCAACAGGAAAATATTTTCAGACCTGAGCAGACACATGGCTCACCTGAGGAAGAGCTCTGTTAAACCATTCACAAGTTGGGCATTTTCCAGATCATGAGACCTATCATTCTGATATCTTTAAAATCACAGAATCTCAGGATCACAGAATGGTGGGGTTTGGAAGGAACCTCTGGAGATCATCCAGTCCAGCCCCCTGCCAAAGCAGGTCCACCCAGAGCAGGTTGCACAGGAACAGGTCCAGATGGGTTTGAATGTCTCCAGAGAAGGAGACTCCACCACCTCTCTGGGCAGCCTCTGCCAGGGCTCTGCCACCCTCACAGGAAACAAGTTCCTCCTCATGTTTAGGTGGACCTTCCCATGTTCCAGTTTGTGCCCGTTCCCTCTTGTCCTGTCCCTGGGCACCACTGAAAAAAGCCTGGCCCCATCCTCCTGACACCCGCCCTTTCAGTATTTATAGGTGTTGATCCACTGAGGTGACCTGCAGATGATTACCCTTCAGCAGATAATTACTCAGGAGCCTCTCTTAAATCAAGATCAAGCCTGCAAGCGGGCCTCCATGCAGTATGGCATGGCCATCCTGTCTCCTGGCCTAGACATGGAAGTCATTCTGTATCCTTAATAATTTAGTGTAATGCTGATATATTGAAAAGTGGAGCGATTTATCCTGGCACGACATGTCAGGTTACATCACAAAAGGCAGTGGTCTTGCCGTATCGTTACGGACGTTGAGCGTATGCAAACAACAGGTTGCAACACTATTCTTTTAAAACTCCAGCAGTATGAGAATGTGCACATGTGTGCAGCAGATCACTAGTTATGGCAGTAAAGGCAGTCTCTGCTTCTGCTATATATTTTCCCAACTGATATGCTTTTTTTTTTTTTTTTTTTTTTGAGGTTGTCATATGGTATAACACTTTTACTAGTCGACTCCTCCCACTTTTCTTCAAACCACATCCTGATTTTTGGCCTCAGAAACCAAACATGTGCACAACTTGCAGAACAGCACATGATATTGTTTCTGTATAACATCATACCAGCTGGGATATAAATTCTTACAGACAATTTTATGCGAATGAAAAATACCTACATTAAGACATTTTCCATAGTTATGCAATACATACCGCAGTAGAGCATATGGTCTAGAGTCAGAGATCCTCCCTTAGAATTATAACAAAAGCCCCAAATCAGGCCTCAGATCTTTAGAAAATGCAATTTTGAAGAGATCGTTCTAATTTCTCTGTATTTTATTTCTTCCTTTTTCTATTCTGCTTTGGATTTCTGAAATCCAGCATCAGCTAGTTTGCTGGTATGTCAAAGGCCCTTAAATTTTATTTATTTGATTTATTGGGTGTCGAGTTGAATAATATTATTATTTAACTAAAGAACAGCTAATATTTGGTGAAATTCTAATTTGTATCATGATTTGAAGATATGCCAATAGGCAGAATTCATCATTTTTGGGCAAATTACTTCAACATTTATTTTGATTAGTAGAAAGTCGTTTTGTTTCTGATTTGTCAGTGTTCAGCTTCTAGAATTATTATTGTTTTTTTTCTTTTGGGGGACAGTGGGGGTGGTGGGGTGGTTGTTATGTTATTCTCCCTTCAGGATAAAGAGTCTTTGCATAGGAGGGTTTTCTCCCATGACCTATAAACTTTAATCAAGTCACCCTCAGCCCTCCTTTTTGATAATCAAACAGATTGAGTTCATACTTTAGCAGCAAATAATTTTCTCCTGCCCTCAAATTAATTTTGAATGCAATTTTGTGAACTCTCCATTTTTTTTTCCGCCATTCCCATTAAAATATGGACAACAGATCTATGGGAATTATTCCAAGAATTGCATCAGGATTCAAGGATTCCATTAGCTCTGTTCATGCAGCTTCACAGCGGGAACTCGTGTTGAGTTGCTGGTCCACTATGGCCCATAAATCCTTGCAGAGTCAGGGCATTCCAAGGCACTGTACCCCATTTTTTGGGGGTGAAATTCCTTTGTATTGATGTATAACCGTGCATTCATCTCTCCTAAAAATGCTCATTTTTCTGATGGGTCTAGCTTGTAAAGACACCTCCTCTTCCTTGATCTCATCACTATGTACTACTTAAGTAATCTTTCTGTCATCCTCAGATCCTTAACATGGTAATTTCTGTTTGCACCTCCAGATCACTGCTGGGAATATTGAATAGCGTCGGGCCTAGTGCTGATGCCTGCTGGATACCATTAGAAACAATTCAGTGTTAATATTCTTTTTAACATAACTTTTGAAGATCTGCTGGCCAGCTCTTAATTGAAATTGTGATCGTTGATGCTATGTAGTAAATATATTTTTTTTTCTTAATAAAAATATCATGCAGTATTCACAAACTTGCATTATGCGTTTATCAACTAAACAAAGAGAAGATAAGCACCCCATAGACAGGTGAAAAAAAATCCGTTGACCAAGTAGCAAACAAAATGTCCAGGATTAATATTCTTCAGTTTTCTCTGTACATGTAACTTCATTTCACCTTTTCAAAACATTTAATATATAAATAATACTGTTCATCTTTCAGAAGTGAAGAGATTCTGATTTCCCTGACATATCCATCTCAAGATGTATAGAGGCTTCCTGGATTTATTGAAATCACCCCTGGGAAGTTTACAGAACTGATGCCAAACACTGCTGCCTGAGCTTTCTTCAGTTGTTTTTTAACACGTTTTGCTAACAGTTTATCTCTCAGATTGTGTAATGTACGCTCTATAATTTGCCACAAACCATAAAAGTCATAAAATTGGAAAAAAGATTCTTAACTAATTCTTAATCTGTGGTTTGGCAGACATACCTTGTGTTCATTTCTGTCTGCACATGAGACAGCATTACAGCTCTTATCCTGACAGATAAAGGTACAACCACAGTCATCCCAAAACATTTCTAATGTCTTAGTCCTCTTTTCCCATCCCCAAATATTTAAGGGAATTTGGGAATGTGCTTGAAAGGTGCTTGACTTTTTCCAAGTGAAAGGAAAGGAGGAGATGAGCTTTGAGAGGAGGAGGCTAATTTAAAATGTTTCCCTTTCTTTTTTTTGGACCCTTTTCCCTTGCAGAAGAAAGTTCTGGTGAAGTTTGCTATAAAGAAGTCTCCAAGCACTGTATTCTTTTTTAAACAAATCTAAGGCTTTTGAATTCATTGGACTTTTCTGTCTTTGTATAGGTTGAATATCACAGCTAATAGCACAGTAATAATTACATGTCATTCTCTTTATCCTCTTTGTGCACTGCCAATCGGCAAAGGTGTCTAATTTCACACATCATTTGCGACGTCCTATGGTAATACCCCTTATTTTGGGGAATGGCTGTTGAATGGAGTCATTAATCTCCATTTTGGGATGTGTAGTTCCAGATTCTGGACCCGATTCTGTAATTACTTTAAGCACAGGGTTCTTGGTGAAGTCACTGGGCTCAGGTCCCAAGAGAAAGGGCTGTACAGGTAACTTGGAGCTAAATTACAGAACTTTAGGGTTTCCCAGTCCCACAGCCCAGCGTAGGGAAGAAAATTACTCTATTTTTCTGCAACTAACGACCCATAGGGTGACATTAACAGGGGGGGAATTGGGGTTTGGGGGACATTCTGGACAGTCTACCCACACTGTGGAGTGAAGGGAAGCCATTCTGCTGGTCCCATTCCATTCTGGACAGCTGGCCCAAAGGAACGCTCTCAATTCCTACCAAGGCAGGAGAAGAGGAGGCTGAGGGGAGACCTTATTGCTCTCTACAACTACCTGAAAGAGGGTGTAGAGAGATGGGGGTCGGTCTCTTTTCTCAAGTCACAGGCGACAGGACAAGAGGAAATGGCCTCAAGTTGCCCCAGGGGAGGTTCAGGCTGGATATTAGGAAAAATTTTTTCACTGAAAGGGTTCTCAGCCATTGGAATGGGCTGCCCAGGGAGGTGGTTGAGGCCCCACCCCTGGAGGTGTTCAAAAGACAGGTTGATGTAGTGCTGGGAGGTCTGGTTTAGTGATGATGCTCCTTGTTTGTTGTGTGGGTGTCTATTTTTGTCAGTTAGGTTGACGGTTGGACAAGATGATCTTTAAGGTCCCTTCCAACCTAGAAGATTCTGTGATTCTGTGAAGGCAAAGCAGCCACAAGTCAACAGCCATCCAGACCCTCCTTCAACCCAGAGACAGCTCGTGGAACTGAACAACAGGAACAAAACAAACAAAAAAAAAGTACTATACGTGCCTGAGAAATCTTATCAGCCCTGGTGGAGATATTTATTGCTGGCTGATGACTGAGAGTCTCGTCCTGCCCAGGGAGGAGCTGTGAGTCTGTGTCAGTCTATGGCTGATTGCTCTGGTGTCACGCCTTGGGAACGGCAGCCAGAAATGTGCAACTCATTCTGCCGTTAGAATCAAAGGCACCTAATTACAATCTCATTTTGTTAAAATACAGCGCTAATGACTTGCTTGTGCAGTAGCTGGATACCCTATCAACTGCCATATAAGCGAAATTTTTTCCATTTTAACAGTCCTAGTGACAGTCTCCGGCTGCCTGTGCATACACCCTCGCCAGTTGTTGCTGTGGGTCAACAGAGAGGGGATTTGCAGCAGTTTCCACTGGGAAGTGACAACAAGAGGAGTCTCTTTGTGCTGAGATGTCCTCCCTCACTTCAAAAGGGTGTTTTCGAGTCATTCATAAAAACTGGTCATTTAAAAATCCAGCCATTCTTTCCTGGGTCAGACAATTCTGTGGCACACCAACAGAGGTTAAACCCTTCTCTCTCTTGTAATGTTCTCCTCCCAGTTCTTCATTTTTGCAATCTGTCTTTTTTTTTTTTGCTGGTACTCAGCTGTTTGTACCTTCGAATTCTTATTTTTATACCTAGGTTGCTTCTGCATGTCTGATACATCTGTCTTTTTCTTTTTTCTTTTTTTTTTTGCTGGTATTCAGCTGTTTGTACCTTCAAATTCTTATTTTTATACGTAGGTTGCTTCTGCATGTCTGATAAAAGTTATACATCATCTTCCAAAACTTTATTACCAAATGTATATATACACTTTTTCAGAGCTCTCACTACTTGCAAAATCTTATTTTGGGTTAAGGGTTACTTCTATTACCTTCCTAGCATCCTGCTGACAGCAACTGGATTGTTAAATATCAAGGGTACCTTGTTTTGTTCCCTGCATATGCCTTTCCTTCAGCAGATCCCAAATGAAGCACGTGTGTGGGTGATACGCGCTGGCATTTGCTATTATTTGATCTTATTCCATGAAATCCTCCTCAGCAAATTCTGCACATGTTAATCTGTTAATTATAGCAAAGTCTATACTATTAAATATTTATCTGGAAGGAGTTCTCTGAAGGTAGGGAAATGAGGACAGCTTTCCAAGTAACGGCATTTCAGCACACAACAAGGACAAACTTTAGACCAAGCCCCATTTTTCACATGGCATTAGATGGCTCCAGAGTTTGATGTGTTTGGTTTTCTCCTACATGTCTGATGCAACCTTTTACATGTATAATCCCCTTTTGAGAGTGTTCTTTCTTCAAACAAACTTTAGACCAAGCCCCATTTTTCACACGGCATTAGATGGCTCCAGAGTTTGATATGTTTGGTTTTCTCTTACATGTCTGATGCACCCTATTACATGTATAATCCTCTTTGTGAGAGTGTTCTTTCTTCACATGTGAGCTGTAAAAATTCTTGCCCTGTGGCTGGTACTGTGGCAGTGCCCGTCCCTCTAAATCTGTATAACTGGCACTAACTGGCACTTTCTCCAAGGGCAGAGCTTTTTTCCCCCCGGGTCTCTTGCCAGTTGTTTCCCATAGTCATTCATACGAGGCAGTGTTACTATAAGCTGTTGTGTCAAAAATCAGGTGGGATCTTAAAGAAAGCAACGTGTGTATCAAGCTACACACACTCAAGTTGTATTCGGAGTCCATCAAGAGGAGAACGAGGTCTGCAATTATTATTTTAAAGCAGCATGGAGGGCAGCCAGAAGAGTGGAAGTAGGAACCCTTCCAAGTACACATCCTGAAGAAGCAAAAGGGGCAGTAATAAAACTAAACTTCCCTCTGTAAAGAGAAAGATTGTTGGAAGGATGGACTCATTAGCTTGGTGCAGGGGGCCAAGCAATTCTCTCTTTCCTTCTCATTACTTCCAGGCCATGGCTGTGTTCTAACTCCATCCCAGATCAGAACACTACCTGGGGATATTAGTGAGCTGAAAAAGAAAGCAGTAAAACAGTTATGGTCCCACTGTCAGTATGAAAATCAGGACCATGATCTTTTAACTGCTTCAGTAAAAAGTTATGTCAGTTGTAATTTCTGCTACTTGGAGATGCCCAGCATTCAAAGAGCTCTCCTCAAGTACACATTGGGTTCTGCTGGATTAAAAAAAATCTCAGGAAAAAGCTCTGATAAGCCCAGTTTCCATAGGTTGCTTGGGGAGAGATAGTCAAGGAGCCACCCCACTTCCCAGTCTCTGCTAAGAAGTCCTGATCCGGGTGCAGGTCTACGTGTACAATTTGGCACCAGCCCCTAAGCTGTTTGCCAGCTGTATGTAGTCAGCACGTTGGGTATCGTTCTGTCTCCTCCTTCCCTAAGCCTCCAAAAGATGGTCTGGTGGTGAATTCTTCGCTCTGCTGTACCAACAGAAGGATTCTCCAGCCTTGGTCCTTGGAGTGGTACAGCAGAACACAGACGAGCTCCAACGGACCGCTGCTCTGGTCCCTCCCAACCTTCCAAATTAAAACAAGAATATGAAAAACCCATATGACTTCATCCTTCAGACCACAAGTGAAGCTGAGTCAGCAAGCGGTGAAGAAAACTACATGTATTTATAGTGAATGAGCAACTATTTCTTTTTCATGAAATGTTTGTAGCTAATCAACTCAAATAGCTGCCTATCTAATAAATACAAGCTGCGTACAGTCCTGCCAAAAAGGCGCGCTTGGATGGTATATTTGGCAGTGCTGAGCAACTCTCAAAGCACATTAGATGTTCACTGTTTGAGTCAATAGGCTGTGATTTCAGTAAGGTTAAAAAAAAATATTTTGATCTTGTTTTTTATACTATACGTTACTTTTATTCATACCCAAGTCTGGTTCCACTGATTTCTGCAGAGGTAACGGTGGCAGGGACTGAACCCAAAGCTAGCACTGAATTATTTCTTTTTGCATGTCCTAATTATGGTCCTGAGCTTTCTTTGTCCTTTTTTCCTTCTTCCCTCACACTTTTTTAGGTTTATCAAATAGGTTCAGCTTGAACCTGTTTCAGTTTGAAATTCACAGAAACCCAGCAACTATATTTATACTTGTAAGTTAAACACTAAGAATAACTTCTGAGCATTTTTCCATTGCTTTTTGTATA